TATAAAAAAGCTTACAAGAATTAGAATGAGAGAAAACTGTCACCGTATGGTGACACTATGGTATATATTATGTAATATTATTGCTTAAAACTATAAAAATTATTATATGTTAATAAAAATGCAGGGCATTGACGTCGGGGATTAATTAAATAAAATTTTAAGATTTTGCATCTTGCGTTTCGTATATACGTATTGAAAATAACTGAAAGGAGGTATTTTTGATGTTTATTAATAATTATATTAATCCCATACATAATATTTAATTTACATACTACATACATACTGTATAATTAAAAATTATAAAATGATGTGAGTACAATATAAAATATATGTAACGAAAATGAAAACAAAATAATTATATTTATTATTAATAAAAATAAACACAGAAAAAACATCAGGTAAAGTACTAATTATAATTATTTATATATTATAATAATTATAATAATTATTTATATATTACTATTATACAAACGTTTATTTATTTGCACGTATATTTAATTTATTTCGTTTCGTGTACCAAAGCTTAACTGACTCCCCGACGCTCCGATTGGAATTATATATGAAGCGTACGTGACCTTCTTGAAACGTCCACTATTTTCCACACCACTCTCGATCGTTCAGGAATACCCCGCCGTAAACAAACGATGACGTAGCGGGTACTTGCTACATTGCCCCCGTCCTGAAAAGTCCGAAGTCTGACATGGTCCTCAGCACCATGGCGATATATGCATAAAGATCCACTTGTGACGTCCTATACAGTGACCGGAACAAATTCATTAAAAAATGTGCCTTTTTCCCCCAATAAATTCCTTGAACACGTCGATTTTGCGGGTGCCCCGTCCTGGTGAAACCAAATGGTATCAATTGGTAGATCGGGACCTCCATTTTTATTGGGAAACATTTCCGCCAATGTGGGAAGAAAAAAGTTTTGCAAAAATTCAAAATACGTTTGTCCTGACATATTCTTGTCAAAGAAGAAAGGACCTATGATCCGATTTTCCACCATTCCTGTCCAGACATTCACTTTTTGCCGGTATTGGGAATTTGCCCAATGAGGATTTTCTCCGCTCCTACTATTTTTACGGTTGACTGTACCATTCAACTATATGCGCGAGCCTTTAATTTTACCAGTGGGAGCTTTCAGAGGCGGGATTACATATCTACGCGCCTTTTACAGCCAACTACATTACCACATAGCGGCCCTTTTACTTTGTGTTCTTTTTATTTGGTATATTTTATATTAAAATAAATTTAATTTGATTGCGCTCGCTTAGCATGCAAGAGGTTCCGGGATCGATACTTAACGCCTGCATTTAACTTTGTTTTTTTACACCGATGCTTTCAACAGGCATTCATTCATCACAATATTATATCTAGTCTATACTTCCCACAAGGGTTAAAATCTTTAAATCACTGTAAAGTGCTTTGAATACAGTTAATATTGTTTCATTTGCAGTGAGATAAAGATCAAGTAACCTAAGTTTCTCATACTAAATACCTTGCTATAGTTAACTATACCGAGGTATTGATTAATAATTATTGATTAATACCTAAGATTATAGAATTAGAAAGTTGCTATATATACATACATTTTATCTTCTTAGAGAAATACTTAGTAAAAAACTTTAAAAGACAATTTATAAAACTTTTGCAGAGTCTGTGATTCCAAATGGGATACTGGTATGGGGAGGGTTGTACAATGGTTATTTGCAAATACAGAAAAAAAAGTACATAATATTAATGTATTTTTATATTGTGACAATGTATGCGCACATTAAAATAGAGCCGATGCACAAATACATTATTATAATGTAAATGTTACATTAATGCATGACAAATTAAATTGAACAATGAAGAGTACATTGATATAATGTAACAGTATACATTGGTCCATGAATGTCATACATTTATTGTATGTACCTTATTCATTAATATAATGTACCCTGTACATTGTTATAATGCACCCTGTACATTGATATAATGTACCCTGTACATTGATATAATGTACCATGTACATTGATATAATGTACCCTGTACATTGATATAATGCACCCTGTACATTAGGGTGAGCCAAAAAAACTAACCTATCGGATTTATGGGTTAAAATGAACCTACATACCGATCAAAAAATTTCCCTGCAAGGCAAAATTTTTTGCTCAATTTTAAAAGGTGTCGGTGAGCATTCTAAGTTTTCCATTGAAATAACACGTAAAAAAATCTTTTTTCATTAAAAAGACTATAACTTTTGAACCGTTTGAGATAAAATTTTTTACGTCGCGGATTCTTGTAGAGCATACAATTTCCCAAGGATCTATACCAGGATTATTTTTTTTAATTAAAAAATTCGTATGTTTGAAAGCTTTGAAAAGTGTAAAAAATCACTAAAACTGCACTTATCTGCTTTTTACTTTCACAATAACCACCTGATTTGACTCACAAACACAAAAGAATAATAATTTCAATTTTTTCTTACGGTGTGGGCTCTGGAACAGAAGCAAATACGTCCTTGCACTGTTGGCTAGTAAAGCGGGAAGCTATATAATTAATACTCTGTAGGCGTTTATAACTTTGCACATCAATACAATGTATTAATTTATTGAATAATGAAAAATCAACCTTGATTAATGAATTTATACATTGATATAATGTATCAAAAACATTAATTAATAAACCTGAAACATTGGTTAATGTATTTATACTTTAGTTAAATGTATTTTTACATGAATTTAATGTATTAATACATTGATATTATGTAAAATTGTACATTATATTAATTAATGCTATACATAATATCAATGTACGTGGTCATGAGCTTATAAAATTTAAACATTCTATTAATGTATTTATACATTTTATTTATGTATAACTACATTAATTTAATAAAATATTGGTCAATGTTTGGCATACATTGATAATATGTAATTATTTTTTTCTGTCATAACAAAACTTAATCCAAAAATGTATTTTAAAAATACTTTATAAAAGACCTAAGCGATATCCTTACAATAAGCTCTTCTCTAAAGAAATACAAAATGTAACTGATTTTAACTTAAGGATTCTTTTAAACCTAAATAAAAGTCTAATAACACATAATTTATTTATTTGAGCACAACTTGCTTAACAGACTTATGACTTTTCACTACAAAGAACCAAATCCCACTTCTGATGTTAAATTAAGGGTTCTTTAAACCCTAAATAAAATCCTAATGACCCAAAATCTATTTATTTTCCATAATTGGCTTATCAGTTTAACTAATGGCTTTTAATCGCCATGACCCAAATTTAACTGCTCTGCTTCGCATCCTTAACCCTTTCACTACGGGGCTCGCCCGCGCCATGTGGTCCCCCCATACGGGCAAATCCAAGCCTTGCGCAAACGTGCGTTTTCCGCTCTCAGGATGAAACTCAACTTCGTCTTCGTCACTATTATATAGCGCCTGCTCCAGCTCTTTTTCAGTAAGGTATCTCTTACTCATTGTTGCTAATTTAATATATTTTATAACAAATTATTGCAAATAAACTGCATTTATGCCACCCCGAAATCGTTTTGCGGCAAGTAACCTAAATGCTATTAGAGCGGGAAACGGTTCCGCCAGCGCAGAGACAAAGACCGTCTAATTGTATCGATGTAGCCGCAAAAGTGTGTTTCCCGTCGTTAATAGTGACTCCACCTAATTGAAAAAATGCGTCTCCCGCGTATCTGTGAGGTCAGTAATTTACGCATTTTTGCGACTCCCGGAGTGAAAGGGTTAAGCTTGCTATATCTTCTCGCCAGCATTGGGAACCACCGCTTACATTCCGACTTAGTATTGCGGGAAAGGCTGCCAAAAATACAATAAATAGTTAGTCACTCAATATAATAAAAAAATATCTCAAAAACATTTGAAGATAGGAAAACGAATAAAAATTCTATAGCTCCAGAATTTTACATATCATTCAAAAATGCAATAATATTTAGGGTTCTATTAGAAAAATAGGTCACATCGCGCTAAAGCTGCAACCAAAATTTTAGATTATTGCAATACATGTATCTTTTAGTTCTCCATAAACCTCTAATAAATCAGTAAGGTCTTAAAATTAATTTTCAGCCTTTTTTGTTTTGATTTAATTCTTAAAAAACAATACCAACTCAAACAACAAAATAATCTCATTCATTTTAGCTATTTTCAGGCAAATGTTATATTCCAGAATCTTTCCATGTGTAAACAATCCTGTCTTATAAAATTCAAAATCCATAAGGACGGTTTCATATAGATGCGAACTATTTTAGGGACATTTTTTTCTCACTAGGTGATATTTGCCATAATATTTAAGGGACTTAATTTTCTCCAAAGGCGATATTTGCCATACTTGGTTAAATTTTCTATTTGTTGTTTTATGTAAATTGAGATTTTGTATTTTTATTATGGATGAACAATTATACCAGTGGGAATTATACCATTGGCGACGAAGGGGTGCAATTGCGCTTATTTATTGTTGAAACGAAGACAATTAATAAATGCGCATGCGCATCACGACAAATTCGTCCGATTTTCGCAAAATATTGAATCAATCTCAAGATTTCCGCCCCTCAGATTTTAAATCTTGCGAATTCGCAGGATCAGTCGAAACGGCAAAACGCTTTTCCCTCCAAATAAAATGGACCAATGAAAACATTTTTCGTATTTCGCATTTCGCGTCTATATGAAACAGCTTTAAGACTATTCTTGCGAATCATTCCTAGCTTCTGTAAACGATAGAAAAATAGCTCGATGCGTCAATCCGATTACTTTAGTTCCTGTACAGCGTTTTTACCAGTAATGTAAAAAAAATTTCTGTGAGTAGTAGGAACTAGTATCACACTTTTTTAAAGTTATAAGATATAATGAAGGAAAATAGATCATGGATCTGCACATTCCATGACGTTAAATATCTAATATTTGTATTCTATCAAACCAGGGTTAGCTAATTTAACCATTTTTTTCAGTGGTTATAAAATGAAATTAATAATTTATTTTCAGCAAGTATGGAAAATTAATTCAAAATCTAGAGGTGTGCACTTCCATAAAAACAAAATCTAATTCAGTGGAGAAATTTGCAAATGACCATAAGTTAAAAATATGTTCATGGCCATTAAAAACCTTAAATCAGAATTATAATGTTGGTATAGTCGTTTCGTTTGGGCACTTAATTCCAGAATATATTATTAATCAATTTGAATAGTAAGTACATGTAAGCATTGAGTAAATTAACGATGTAAGTATATGTATGTATTAGGGTGGGTCGAAAAACTTCTAGGGGAGAAAAGTAAAACGCATACAAAAAAATAGTATATTACACTACAAGGGCAGAAAGTGTGAGATTCCTGCACTGCGCGCCATGATGCCCGAGGCGCGCACACTCTAATAGCGCAAGATACATACAACATAAGATAGGATGGTGCGCATGGTGGGCGGAGCTAAAATACGTCACATGACGTCACTTGATGAGTAGTTTTAAATCTCTAACGTTCGTTTTAATTATCTGCCGCTAAAATTCTGGTTTTTGCGAAGCTGTTAGATGTTAAATTGCTCTGTTTTTTGTTTAACTTGTTGTTTTTGCATTCTGTAAGGTTAGAATTACTTTTCAGTGTTTAAATTATTGTTATTGCTTTGTGTTAACCTGTTCTGTTTGTGCTATTAGTTTGGGTTGTGCCATTTGCATTTATTAAAATGCGTTGTGCCATATTTGGATGCATTTCGGACAACCAGTCCAAGAAAAACCCTACAAATAAAGACATTAAATACCATCGATTTCCGAAAAACATAAGTTTGTGCAAAAAGTGGTTACATGCAACGAAAATAAGAGACAAAATTAACGTTAAGCGCGCTACTGTTTGCTCTAAACATTTTCTGGACAGTGACTACAACTTTAATTTAAAACATAAACTCTTAAACTGCAGCCCTAAACGTTATCGTGGACTGAAAGATGATGCTGTGCCTACTCAAAATTTACCTCGAACTCAGGTTTCTTCTGTGCCGTCAACAAGTGGACACAATCGTAAACTTTTAAGTGAAAAAAGGGAAAAGCCCAAAGAACACTTGGAAAAGGCTCAACTTATTAGTAATATCCTTCTAGCGTCAAGAGACACGTAAGTTTTTAAGCATTTATTAGTCTGCTCATATGTGTATTTTTAAATTTATCAATTAATAGGGTGGAAGAACCACCAGAAATTGCTGATAATGGGGTTGGTGGTAGTATTATTGATAATAATTCACAAAAAACGCACTATGTCCAGATATTTCTTTATGTTTTGATAATATTACTAGCATCCATACTAATAAAATACTTTTAATATCAAATTTACAACAAAAAATAGATTTAAATAGTATCAAATATTTTTATAAATCATCTATCATCCATATTATAACATTTTTTTCAATATCAAGTTTAAAAATAACGCACTATGTCCAGATATTTGTCTATTTTCTTTGATAATATAGGCATTATACGTGTATTCGCGCTGCAACTACTCATCAGGTGACGTCATGCGCGGCGCGAACCAAAACTCGTCCGCGGGAGCATCCAGCCCTGCTAATAGCGGGAGTAAAATTTTTTTAGTCGTGTGCTTAACATTCAAATTTCGTACTGCCAAAATGAGAAACACAAAAATATGACAGTTTTAAACCATAATTTTGCAATTATAACAACAAATAAACAATTTATGTTTTTACTTTTTTACTTTTTATGTTGTTTTAAGTGTTTAATTGTACTTTTATTTGTTATAAAGTAGTAGTTTGTTAATTAAAATACAAACTTTTATTTTTACTGTATTGGCACCGCTGAATTCACGGCCTACTGTTATTTATTTATCAAGCTCTTCAAATGGAGATAGGTACATAAATACACATTTAATTTTTTCCCGTATTTTCGGCCGGGTTGTATTTTCGGCCGAGGTAGTAAGAAAAATAGTATACACTTCACGGGCAGAAAGTGTGAGAGCCCTGAACTGCGCGCCATGATGCCCTCGACTTCGCCTCGGGCATCATGGCGCGCAGTGCAGGAATCTCACACTTTCTGCCCTTGTAGTGTAATATACTATTTTTAATCCCCTAGCGCTTGGAAATTTGAATTTAGAAATATATGGTATTTTTGGTATACGTAGATATGCGAGAAAGATCTTAAACTGCTACGGTAAAAAAAACTTTAATTGTCTACTATTAGTTCTCTTGGTTTGGTAGCTGCTTGCTTTTAAGTGGGTGCCACCATTTGACAACGTATTGTGTGCAACCTACGGGCAACCTTTTGCGTATACTTAAGGTGGACAACGCGTAGGAAATAATTTACCTATTCGAAATTACTGAATCTGGTGGCAATTTGCCGACAACGTAACGGAAACGAAAATAAATAAATGGGTCTTCAAGAACCACAGTGGCCCAACCTACAAAATTTTATATTATTGTATTTTGTCCCAAAATTTTTTTGGGTTAGGCCATTCTGGTTATCAACGCCTTATTTATTTATTCCGTTTCCCTTGTCAATAAATTGCAACCAAATTATTTATTGTTATTGTTATTTTTGCAAGAGGGTGTCCATTCCATACATGTATAAATTTATACGCAAATTACAGATATACATTTATTCTTCACTTAGGTAACTAACATAATTATAAAGATATAACAAATACACATGTGCGCAACAGTAAAGCTATTGTCGCCAAAGCGGTATCTCTCTTGCACAACCGCTGTTTCCTTCTGCATTTAAGGTAGGTACATTGTAGACAACGAGCTCCAGCGTATTGTAGGAAATGTGGTATTTTTTGGAAACGTAGAAAAAGTATAGTCTGAAACACGTTTGGAATTGCATATTCCGCTCTCGTGAAACCGTCAAACTCGCCTTCGGCTCGTGTGACAAACTCTTCACTCGAGCGGAATATGCTGTATTCCAAACTTGTTACAGAATATACTATTAAATGCCCTCCAACTTGGGCGAAAACATTTTTCTTACAGTTAGCAGGCAACTGACGGGCATTCTTTTTATCAGTCTTTAAAAAATAAAAGATTTCCCAAATTTTTAAATGATTTTTATTTTATTATGTTCAAGCGCTAAAAAAGTAAATTTTTTCCTACATAACCGATTTTAATTTCTTATATGGGTTTCCAGAACTTAAGAATTATAAAAATAGTAAAAAAATTGTTTTATAATGTTTATGGTTTTTAATTTTTTTCTAAATAAGCTATTAATTTTTTTTTCGACACCAAAAAGTCAAATGCGAAAATCGATAGCATATGCAATTCAAGGCTTCAAGTTGCGGTGTTGTCAGATTTTAACGTTTACTGCTTGCTGATGGTTCAAAAGCACACATTTTTACGTTATACTATTGCAAGTTTGATCTTTTTTTCGCCGTGGTCTAATTGACACTAAATTACATATAAAGAAGTCTTCTTTGAACTAAATACATATAATTGTTGATTTGACACCGACTAAACAAGTTTGTGGCGCCCACTGAAGAATTTCAAAGTTAGCTTTACATTCACATAATGCCCTGATAACTGTTAGCCTTTCTTTATTAAAAGTCTCAGGACTTTCACGAATTACACTATTTATGGTAAGCTTATTTCTTCCTCATTAACATTTAACAGTTTTGGCATTCTTGTTGGTAAGCCCTTAAGCATAAAATAACAATATGTTAAATATATTACTATATAGTAATAAAATTTAGTTTTTCTCTAAATTAAGGCGTAATCAAAAAGTAGCTTTTATTTGTAATTTTACACTACTAAAAAGGGGAAAATTTATATAAAAACAAATTTAAAAATGCATGTTTTACACTTATTTGTCATATTCGATAAATGCACCAAAAAAAAATTAATTTTATATTATTATATTATTAATTGTAGCGGAATATTAAATGTCCATCCCAGTATTTTACCACGATGGAGGGGAGCCGCTCCAACTGTACATGCCATAGCAAATGGTGACAATGTTACTGGTGTATCAATTATTAGAATAAAACCAAAAGTGTTTGATATAGGTGACATCATTGAACAACAATCTGTTATAATTGATGATAATATAAATGTGGTTGAATTGAACGAAAAATTAGGAAACCTTGGTGCTGATAGATTGTTACATACTTTAAATCACCTGGAAAATAATTTAAATAAAGCTGTGCCACAACCTATAAATGGCATAAAATTGGGTAAATTACTTTTTCCTTAAAATTTTCATTATTTCGTCACTCAATCCCGGGACCAAGTTAACTAATCCCGAAAACAATCCCGAACAATATAAATTCTTAATTTAAAATAAACGAACCAACAAAGTAACATAAAGATTTTAACAGTTCTACAAAATATAATTTAAAATAAACGAAAAAACAACATTTTTCGGACCACACTAATTGGAGAAATGGTTTATAGGAACTCGTAGGCACGTTAAAGATTGTACCCACGTTTACCCCTATTAATTCCATGTCATCCATAATTTTATCAATTCGGCCTCGGTGAAATCCAAATAAGGCTGCAAAATTTCTCCCTCTGCTCGTATAATCTCCGCGATGCTTCCTCGTCATCGCAATTTTTCCAATTTATGTTTAATTTTTCCTGCCGTCCTTTCAATTTTGTCGTAACCACCCGTCAAACGACTTTTGGAACCATATATTACATTTTAAATGTATGAAGTAGTTAAAGGTAGGTTCTCCTACAAATTTGCTGGTAGTCTGTACCGGGTAGCTGCTACGTCCTACAACTGCCGAAAAGTTATTTTCCTGCTTAAAATACAACATAGAGACTCTGTTCAAACCGATAGATATTTGTATCGGAATGTATGGTATTTCTATAGGGTGTATCGGTATGTATAGGACCCATAGTTGGGATTAATGGTTCTTCTATAGGGATATCCACCCTTGATTTATGTGCTATTGGTTTCAATGGGGAAAATACACATAAATGTAGAAATTAGTTTTTCCCCCATAGAAACCCATAGGTTTTAATAAAATGTTGTCAAATGTTTTATGGTTGTTCTATAGGGATATCCCTATATATCCTTCATTGAGTAATTTGCTATCGGTCTCTATAGGGAAAATGTAAAAGTTATGGTGTGCCTATAGGTAATTTCCTATAAATTTTCTATCGGGCCGTATCCGGAAAAAACCATGGACAAATGCACATATTGAATCCGGTAGCGCCCGATAGATTATTTTGTATAGGTCTCTATGGGGTATTTTAAGCAGGGTTGTGACAGCTACTTAGTAGCTTGTAAGAGAACAACTACCAGCGACCAGCAAATTTGTACGTGCCTTAAGAAAACACTGTCCAATTTTTAGCGGCATTACAGCTATTTGTTACTTTTATAACAAAAGTATTTGTAAAAGAAACGAATATGTGTACTGGTTGCTGGTAGTCGCTACCGGGTAAATGCTGCGTCCTACAACTAGCGAAAAGTTATTTCCCTGCTTAAAATACCCCATAGAGACCCTGTTCAAACCGATAGATGTTTGTATCGGAATGTATGGTGTTTGTATAGGGTGTATCGGTATGTATAGCACCCATAGTTGCGATGTATGGTTGTTCTATAGGGATATCCACCCTTGATTTATTTGCTATCGGTTTCAATGGGGAAAATACACATAAATGTAGAAATTAGTTTTCCCCCATAGGACCCCATAGGTTTTAATAAAATTTTGTCAAATGTTTTATGGTATCTCCATAGGGATATCCCTATATATCCTTCATTGAGTTATTTTCTATCGGTCTCAATAGGGAAAATGTAAAAGTTATGGTGTGTCTATAGGTAATTTCCTATACATTTTCTATCGGGCCGTATCCGGAAAAAAACATGGACAAATGCACATATTGAATCCGGTAGCGCCCGATAGATTATTTTTTATAGGTCTCTATGGGGTATTTTAAGCAGGGTTGAGACAGCTACTTAGTAGCTTGTAAGAGAACAACTTAATGAATTGCATTGTTCGAGTCTTGACGACTAAGTAGCAGCTACCCGGTAGCGTATTGGCTTAGTTTACTACGATACATAGCCATAGTGTTCTGAATCGCAGTAAGGATTGACAAAATTAAACACCAATAAGTACAATACAATCCTTACTACGATTCAGCACATCTGCCAGTTTGTGGTGTTCTGAATCATAGTAGAGAATGTTGAAGTGTTTGCGCGAATGCAGCAGGCCATACTTTACTGCGATTCAGAAAATATTGGCTATGCAATCGCATGTGCCGCACGCATAAAGTAATAAGCCAGAGTTATGTTATGTTAAAAATTAATTAATAGTAGTGATTGTTTTCATTTGTTTTCGTAGTTATTAAAAATGAATTACAAGGAAATCCTTGCAGAAATATGCAGTCATACTGATGCAATTGTGGAAAGTTTTGGCAAAGATACGATTTAAGAAAACTGAGGGGATAGTTACCAACGGAAAATGGTGTGACCAGTGAATTAAAGAGTTTAGTCTTAAGACGTTTACTAATTGGATTGTAAGGTACCTGTATCCTTCTGCCACTAGTTATGAATACCGAAAAATTTACAATTGTCAGCACAACAGTCAAGCAAAGAAAAAGAATAGTATTGGCATATGTATTTTTATTTGGTGTCTATTTAAAGAAAACAACACAATACAAAATATAATACAATACAATATTTTCTTATTATTTATGTATATTTTATGTTTATGTTTTTGCAAAATTAATAGTTATTATGTAAAAGTAGTAATAGCTACTATTAGTTTTTATTTAATTTTTTCTACTTAAAATTTGTAAATAAAATTTAGTATAGGGTCGTTTTGAGGGGTGGTGAATCCAGTGCCGTGCTTAGATTTTCTTTAAAAAAATCGCTAACTAAATGAAAAAAGCAAAATTTTTGGGTAAAATGATATTTTTGTTAATAAGTTTAAAATGATTTTTTTTCCTTTGGGTTAATGTATTTTTATTATTTAAATTGCAGAGTGTACTTTAGAGAAATATCATGCCATGAAAAGCATATAAAATTATATTAATTTAAATAATCGGGTAAATTTGATTCAAATCGAAAAATTTGTAGTTTTGTATTCATTTAACAACAATTTTACAATACTTTTAAACACTTTTAGTGTACCCTCTTTAAAATATATATACAAAAAGAAATCTATTTATTTCATTGCCTTTCTCAACGTTGTTTCAAAAAGATATGTATTATAAAATTGTTATTAATTTAATGGGACACACCAATGACGCCAAAACATATTTGAATCCCTTTGAATTATTATCGTTTTGAATGATTCTACAACATTTCTTCTACCTAGTTTGTTTTTATTAATATTTATTTATAAATACATTCCAATTAAAAATAATTCGTTTTGTATTGATAATGCGTGAAGCTAGCGTACTACAGCTAAAAATACTATTTTCTGAATCGTGGTAAAGTATGGCCTGCGGCAGTCGCGCCTACCCTCTAACATTCTCTACTACGGTAGCGACTACGAACGACCAGCGAATTTGTAGAAGAACGTGCCTTAAGAAAACACTGTCTAATTTTTAGCGGTATTGCAAGTATTTGTTACTTTTATAACAAAAGAAACGAATTTTTATAAACATTAATGTTTATAAAAATTCGTTTCTTTTATCCATACTTTTGTTATAAAAGTAACAAATAGTTGTAATACCGCTATAATTATATTTTAGGACTAAATTTACAACAATATTATATCACCTATTGTTGGCATTATTTGGCAAATAATAAAATAATTAACAATTTATGACATTAAAAAGTATATTTTATTCTTTTTAACTTATTACAAAGATCCCGGGATTGGGACTAATTGTCACCATATTCCCATGATAAAAATTAATTGAACTGATTTTAGCTCCTAAAATAAATCATGAATTTGCTCGTATTGACTGGAACAAAAAGAATGCCAAAGAAGTTTATAACTTAGAAAGATCATTAGTTGGTTTTTTACTACCGTTTACCACATGGAATGGCAATACTGTTAAACTACAAGGTATAAAAGAAGCAAAATGTGATACTAGCTTGCAAGACTATAATCCTGGATTTATTATTTATGATAAAAAAAATAAGGTAATTATAGTTTTATGTGCAAATAAAACTTGTGTTAGTGTTTCAAAAATTAAAGTGTGGAAAAAAGAAGTAATGAGTGCAACAGACTTTAATAATGGTTTTTTAAAAAAAGCAACTGTAGCTAAAAGATATTTTAAATAAAATGTTAATATTTAAACTTAGTTTGTATTTTAATTATTCTATGTATGAGAGGGTTGCACCTACTCCAATATTAAACCCCCCCCCCGAACACCTGGACAATATTAGAATTTGTCATCCTTATCCAAAACCACATTATACAGTGTACAATAAAAGACCATTGGTTCTTAGATTATTTCATTAAACATAAACATGTCCAGATTTGTATCATTTATCTGCTAGGGGGCTTTAAAGATCGTAAAAAATATTGTTATTAATAAAGTGAAAACGCCACCTATTTTAATCATTTTGGTGTATTAATAATTAAATAAACAGTTTAGACAAAAACAAATCAATGAGTATCAAAAATATATTAAAATATTATCCAGAAAATGCCTTCAATGAACATTAGAATAATGCAAATATTCATTACATTTACATGTATAGGTACATGTATTGTTAATTAATTTATCATTCATTAATCGTTTTAATGGATATAAAAATGTATGCATTATTAATGCATTAATTTAATGAATAGTGCACTCACTACCATTATATACTCAATAAATATTGGGGCCAATTTCATAATTAATTTAAAAGTTTAAAATGACAAATTCGAATTTTCATTGGTCAATTTTATTTTTTTCATTGGTAAATTTGACATTTCCTGTCACATTCATGTCTTGTTCCCGTCCCGTTCCTGCCCCTTTCATATTCCGTTCATGTTCTATTCTTGATCCCGTCCTTAATCAACATCCCGAATCCGCTCCTACTGCTTTACCGAGTCATCTCGCAATTGTGACATACCTAAGTTAGTATTCTGACAGTTGACAGAAAACCTTTTGAAATTAAAACTAACCGTTGTTTGGTGTATTTATTTTAAATTTATAATTGGAAGGAAATAAAACAAGAATTCCTGTGTAAATAGTTTAATATTATAAATTAAAAGATAAAATAAATCCAATCATAAAACTCCTCAACAGAAGGAAGAAAATAAAACGCAAAACTTTCCTAAGGAATAAAAAAAGCAGCAGAAAAATACCAATTTTTGCCTGCCGTAAGAAAAAGTAACTTATGATTAATAGATACATTTATGTAATCAAATGTATTTGTAATAATAACACAAGTATACTCGGTTTTGGACCTGAGCAAGTTGTTTTTAAGGTAACTTGGGGTGCTGAATCCAAATCTTCACTCCGTTTTTTTAAGATTGGCTCTAGTCTTCGAGATAGTAAATAAATTAAATTTGTACGATCTTTGGCAATTATATTTATTTAATAGCAATTAAAAGTAATAAATTAAAAATTAAGAGCCGTGGAACTAAGTATTTTATATTGTTTTGGATCCGTTTCACGCATTAGAGTCCAACAGTACTCGCTCATCATGCGTTCATCCCAAAATTCTTGGTACCTCCTTTCAATGTTTGCGAGATCTTGGTGTAGCCGCTCTCCCTGTTCGTCGCTCGTATCGCCCAAGTTTTCAGGAAAAAAATCGAGGTGGGAATGGATGATTTGCTTAAAATCCGGGGATTTGCGCTTACCAAGAAAGTTGTGAACAACACTTTGAAAAGAGGTCCATGCTGCCGCTTCATCGAGCGTTAAATATTTTGTATAGTTTCCGTCAGTCATAAATTTTCGAATATCAGGTCCGACAAATATTCCTTCTTTGATTTTTGCGTACGACAAATTAGGAAACAACTTGATTAAGTACTGAAAAGCCTGCCCTTCATCTGCGAGAACTGAAAAACTAGAACCAATGTTGCCAAACGGATTCAAGATTCGAATTCATCGCATCAAATAACGTCAAAAATCGTTGTAATCTGCTCGGGTCCAAAAGTTGGCCGGAATTTGTAAACTTGTGTAATTGTTTTACAGAAATACTTTGGAAAACACTGGAAATTCAACTACAACGAACAACAAAAATGTCAAAGTAAGTTATTATCAAGACCGTAGCCAAGGGGAGTGGTAGTTTTTAACCCCCCCCCCCTCGAAATTTTAGAAAATTAAATTTAAGAACGCAGGTACTTCAGAAGTTTTACGGGCCAAGATAATATCTTAGGTCAATAATATACTTGCAGCAAATAACATAACAAAATACAACCTTCTAACATTAAGATGTTTGTAAAATAAGTATGTAAAATAAAATATCCCATTTGTATATAAGGAAACAATTTTATAATTAAAGTTAGTATTAACAAGACTATTGTGTTTTACTCAACTACCCACTAGTTTCCAAGCCTTAACTGGAGCGTGAGGCTGCGCTCCGCTAGTGGGACATTATTACAAAGATTCGGGATCCTAATTAAGATCCGACTCTTTTCATGGTCCTTCGAACCTAAAATTGTACCAGTTCAATCCAGAAGTGGTGCAGTTTCATATCTAGAAAATAATCAAATCGACACAATTTAAGATGACGAACACAAACCCAAAAATGAACGAGCTGGTGGCCAAACAACAGGTCACTGGGAAGGCCATCCTTCAACAATACACCAACATGAAGAAAGATTCAACCTCAAGAAAGTCAACTGAATACTTTAAACGCCGCACTGAGGCGTTGAACGAATATTGGGCCAATGCGGAACAAACTCAAGCCGAGATAATTAAAATCAAAGAATTATCTCATGAATATTGGACATTAGAATATTATAAACAAATCGAAAAATCGTATCGGGACTGTTATAAGTACATTCAGGACTAAACAACATGTATTAACGAATCCAGCGAAGACGAAGATACACGAGTAAAATACAAGATGCAACGCATACAGGACCTTCAGCAAATAATGAACAGAATTGACGACGCATTAGCCCATGACCAGACTATAGATAGGTACGAAATTCTGTCTGAAAAATTAATTAATCAATGGCAAGTAATAGTATCAGCACATTTTGAAATCCGAGCCGACGACACACTACGTCAGGCATCGTATTTCACGAACAACACGTATACACTAATCGAAATGGAATGCGAAGACTGCATTTGTGACCTACGACAAAAAATACGTAGGTTAAAACAAACAGAAAGCGACAATGATAGAAGCACATCAATCAAACTACCACAGGTCCAGATTCCAGTTTTCGGAGGTAATTACGAGGAATGGGCCAATTTCGAAGACATATTTACGCAAATAATCCATAACAACCGACGCTTGTCCGACGTATAAAACATGCAGCATCTAAAAACTCACCTTAAAGGCGAAGCCGCGCGTGCCATTCAACATTTTCCCATAACAAATGCTAATTACGGAGCAGCATGGGAGCAGCTTAAAAAAAGGTACAATAATAAGAGGTTAATATTAACTAAGTTACTTAATAAAATGATGGAGTTCCCGCCAATTCACCATGAATCAGCTAGAAAACTACAAGAACTCCACGACACCATAAGTGAATGCATGGCTGCAATTGAGCTGATGGGAATAAAAACAGACTCATGGGGTCCAATAATAAGCTGTTTGATCTCGAAAAAATGGGATGCTGAAACAAACAGGTTATATGAGTCTTCTATAAAGGATCCGTTGGTAATTCAAAGTTTAGAAGATCAAATCAACTTTTTGCGAAACCGTTTTCAGTCCTTAGAGGCAACACCCAGCAGTCCCAGATTGACGGCGACAATTGCAGTACAGAACAAGAGGCAGCAGCCATTTCATGGGCATAAGATCGTGTGCAGTTTTTGCCAAGACCAACATACGATAAGTTATTGCCCAAAGTTCAGGGGCCTGTCAGTGACAGCTCGGGGCCAAGCAATAAGAGAAAAAAATTTGTGCATTAATTGCCTATGGCATGATGCAGCTGCAAAATGCACATCAGAAAGAAGATGTGCGGTGTGCTCGAGACGTCATCATACGCTCTTGCACTTTGAAAATACGGAACAGAAAACCAAATCAAAGGTAGACAACCAAAAAAACAAGGCAAGCAACCACGTGGGGAATCAGAGTCCAATAGTACTACTAGCAACCGCACTCATTAAAGCCAAAACAGTGAGTGGAGGTATAGAGTATGCACGAGTACTCATCAAGGCTCTCAAACATCCTTGATCACGGAAGAAGCAGCAACCCTATTAGCCCTTCCAAGGCAAAAGGTATCCACAGACCTATCAGGTGTTGGAGATGGGAACATAAAAACATCAAGCCAACAAGTGACACTTACGTGTAGCCCAAGATTCCCGAGTACATTTAAGCTGACAACAAATCTTCTAGTGCTACCCAAACTAACAAGGACACTGCCTGAAAAAAGTTTTGACATAGACATGGAACAATGGCAGAACAAAGTATTGGCTGACCCAACGTTCAACAAGATGGGACCCATAGACATTCTCCTAGGAGCTGAAGAAGTGGCGAAAATACTGCTGGACAGAGTGCACAAAACAGCAAATGGATTTCTTGGCCAAAACACGGAATTTGGATGGATAGTGTCCGGGGGAAATCCTAGTCAAGATTCTAATATAAAAATAGTCAGCATGACCGCCAGATACGAAGAAGATGAAATATATCAAAGAAGCGATAACACGACATGTGAGATTAAAGAACAAAAATTTCATACAGCAATTTCGAAACAGATGTACGCCATAAACAGTTGGCTATTTATCACTGCCGGAATCACCAAAGTAGCAGTCACATGTAATGGAATAAGAAATGACATGGCCCTGAATAGAACAGGAATTCTTACTGTATCCAAAAGCTGCACAGTTAATACCCGTAGGAACGTGCCAACACCGAAGCGGATAGTAGAAATCCCTGTGTTGTCCAGCTTTACCCGTCCGGTGGTGGCAAACTTGACGTTATTAACGTCAAAACGTCATATTAAACTCCACCACGATTCCGGACAAGAACTGGTACTCAGGCCGTCAGACAACCTTGGAAACATCGAAGAATTGATGAAAGAAGAACGAGAGATCCAGGATAGCCTTGATGAAAATACTTGGCATAATGTCCACCATCATTCCGCCATAACAAGCGTGATAACTAGCTCTTTAGTGGTAATCTTAATCATAAGTACTTGGTTTGGAATAAAACAAATACAGATTTGGAGAACTTCAAAGAAGACACCAACAAACCCAGAAGAAATAGTGACCCTTG